CTTCAGATTTACTGGTAAACTAAATGAATCGGAAAACAAAATATACATTATGATCTTCCATCATAGAAATATTACATTATGTCATCTGCATAGAGGATTTCAGATAGAGCTTGGCTAATACCTGATCTCAATAGATTTCGTATATGTGCACTGAATTTACTACAATAAAAATCTCACCCTCCCTTTCCAAAACATGAATGTATTTGTGACTGAATAGATAGATCAAGAAAGATTAAATGAAAAATAGCATAAAGATTAAAGAATAAATTTTAAAATATTGATTCACAACTTTTGAAGTACGCACGTAGACACAAATTTTTTGCCCAAGACTAACGAGTTATTAAGATTTTAAAATACATTAAAAATTATCCAGAATACCATAAATATTTAGAAATGTAATTAATAACTAAAACTGTTCACACATCATAAAAGCAGCTTGATAGTGGCAGAACTGGTACAGATTTATCAGAAAGCAGCTCCCAGAATATCCTCTCAAACAGTGCGCTTATTCCTGTCTAAGGAATTTTGTATCCTAAGCCCTGTCTAAGGGCTTTTGTATCCTAACAGATTCACGTCTTTGAGAAAGAAGTCAGATCCCTACTGTGGGAAATGAAGTTTCTCCCACTCATTTCAATGGCAATCAGGATTTAGCTGCCAGAGTTTTAGGCTCCTAGTTCTTCATTTTTAATTACAACAATGCTTAAATACTCTTTTTAAAAAAATTTTTTTTAGATCAAGACAGTTGTATTCTTAATTAACAAAAGATGAATTCACATGTCAAAGTACAAAAGCTGTACAATTTTACATGGATGCAAAAGGACATGCTGTGATTGTAACAATTTAAAACAAACATTAGTTGTTTGGTAATCAAAATAAGCCACTATTAAGTATTATTTATTACATAAATGATGGTTGATACAATTAGAACCATGTTCTGATGTAGAGAGAGCTCAAGAGGCAGCTTTTTTGGATTGTGAACCTCAGCATGCATGTTTTTGTCTTTACTCAGGAGATGACCAGCCAAACTCAAAACCAATTTATATACCCACATAAATACTGCATTGTCCTCACGGTTGGCAGTTCCTACTCATTACTGTAAAAAAATCCCTGCCTTTATTCTTCAGCACTGTAAGTGTGATAATCTGGTATGTTTAAACTGCTGTGAAGACAAGCCCTTGGATCTAAGTTTTTAAATCTACCGAAACCAGGTCACTAGACGTAAGTTCATGCTTCTACCAAAACGGCCAGTTCTCTAATTCTATCTAGGGCGATCACTTTTTCCCCGTCCTCCTTTCTCGTACCAAAAAACTTTTGTCAGATGTGCAGTAAACTCAATACAGAAACTGAGTTGGCTAACAGATAACTATTTTTATTTAGTTTTTGCTGATACTGGGAATTATGCAGTTTGCTTATTCATAAGGTATATCCAACCATCCCCTGCCAATACCTGTAACCCATTTGACAGATTAGCTTATGAAGAAAGCTACTGTAAAACCAATTAAATCCCATTTTCTCTAGGAGTTTTACATTTCTATTTTTTTAAATATTGTTTTGTAACACAAATATTGCTCATCTTCTCTATCCTTAGTTAGAAAGTGAATATACACACCACTAATGATGCTCCATAATAATGTGAAACAAATCGAAGTGTCTTGCTTATGATTTTCCTCATTTCAGAGTCAAACTCCTAAAAAAGTTGATATTGGAACATATATGTAAGAAACAAAAAACAAAATATTACAGCTAGAACTTTTCATTTTTTGTATAAACTGCAATGCACTTAGGCTACAATATATGAGGTTTTCAGCTGTCAGCATAATTATATCTTAAGACAGAATCAGTAACAGCCTACTCTGAAAAGAAATGTCACAATTTCCCTTTGTTTCTTTTTTACAGAGGGAGCCTAATTCAGGCAATATGTTAGTCCAGAAAAAGTTTCTTAATTGGGAATGTGTATTCCATTTCCAATTAATTTGTTTCATTTTGTTTTAAATTTTTAAAAGTAGAAATACCGCCTACCAGAAGAATAAGGATTTTTTCTTTTTGTGAAGATATTCAACTTTCAGTAAAACTTTGGGTATATGCTCTCTAAAGTCTAATACCTGCAAGATTTGAAAGGTGCATAAAACCACCTTTTCATGAATGTTTCTTTAATATGACACAGATGGCCTTCCCTGGATAAAATTGGTGAAAACCTGGTCCCAGTGAAGCCTGCAGGAGGCTGTCCATAGACCCCAATGGAATCAGGCTGTTATTTTGTGCTTATTACATGAGAGTCACTGAATTTTAAAGAGGTCATGGCTCCGCATAAAGTCTCGGTATGAAAGAAGGCACAGTACCTCGTTAGTAAAGAATTCAGTAACTCAAAGAGTCAGCCAAGTATCAGTGCACTACTTAGTCATCCAAAGAAGCACAGGCTGCCAGCACGGCAGCTAAAAAATCAAACATACTGTTCTAGTTTCTCATGAGCAAGTGCTGCTTGAAAATTGAGTATGCATTTGTTTGGATTTTTAACGCCCTGGGAGAAAATCCAGCAGTACTATGACATTTCTTTCCTCTCCCCCCTAAAAGATGCAATTACTCACTTGTCTCTGAAAACTTAAGAGGTACTTAAAAAAAAAAAGTTCCAGACTGAAATGATAGTTTACTGTTCGTACTGCCACAGCTACCAAAAAAATCTGACCAGCTGACTTGAGAGATGCCCCTCTTTCACTGCCATAAACTTAGAGCTGCTGTCAGAAGGGACACACGGAGCCGGATTTCTCTCATTATAAAAGAAAGTCATCAACATGATGTTTTGGTTTTTTTTTTGCTTTCCTCTTTGGTCTGCAGCAACTTATACCTCAACACTTTCCAAGTACATCTCAAAAATCTCAGTTTGGGAGTGTTTTGTGAAGGAATGACAGTATTCCGTCCAACAGCATTACGGAAGGCAAGATTTTTTTGTGGTAAAAGGCTGACTGGACGTACTTTTGTTCAAATGATTACTATCATATTACCAAGATTTTAGTATATAGAATCTTTACCAGTTATCTTTTAATTATTTAAAAAATACATTAAGTATTACTTACATGAAAAATATCATATTTGCTTCCAATTATCACCAAGGGTATTGGAAAAGGGTCAACTAAGTCATAATCCTATTAAACAGATATACGACAGTTAAGCAGTGTAAACAAACTGTAGAAGATTGCAACTGTTAAAACAACTGAAAGGGGTTAAAATTAATTCACAGAAGACAAGCTCTATTTTTTCAAAACCTTACGTTAGATGAATAAACTTTGATGCAATATCCATACCATATTCTACAATTTTCTCATTTTCTTCATAAATGGTCAGGAAATAATCCCCCTGAGCAGTCAGAACACTTACTGGCGTAAAAGGGCTCTTACACTATATACTCCAGCTCCAACATCAGATGGGAAGGGAAGAGAGGAAAAACTTCATATATACACAGAACAACCGCCAGATTGGATTAGTAGAACTGGCTTTTTGACACACTCCCTCTCCTTGCATCATATCCAAAGTAATACAGACAAAAGCTCAAGAAAATTAAGCTGAATGATTTTCTTGCGTCACACATTTGTCCTCCCCACATCACATTTTCCAAATTCTTAAAAAATATTTAATGTGATTTTCAAATGTTTGCTATCAGCAGAAAGAGGAAGCCTCACCTAACAACCATGAAAATGCAAATCAATATCAGTGGACAAAAACAGCTCTGGGGGTGTAGATTTAACTGTTAAATAGCTAACTTCTGACAAAAGTGTTAATAAGTAGATTACAATAATTCTCAAGTTATCTGAAAGGTTTTCCTGTAGTCCATATGAAATGAGACAATCCCCTCGTGTTCACGCAATTATTTAGTCCAGCTGCTTTGGTTGCAGCAGAGTAGAAAAGAGATGTGTTGTAGCACAGGTTGACCTAACTGTTCCCTTCTAAAGCCGGTTATTTCACATACAGGTTAAATGACAGTATATTAGCAAGAAGCTGCACATACTGCACAATCCTCTACTTTGAGAGGAAAAAAAAAATGGTTTCACTCATACACTGTCAAGACAAAAGCTTTGAGCAAAATGATCATAACTTAAAACTGGGTGTATAGAATATAGAACTGAAAAAAAATTAGATTTAGTTTCTTAACTAAGAAAAAATGAATTCAGGATGACATCAGAAACATTACAACTGGCATACTGAACCCTATTCATCTTTTGACTATGGAATTAATTTTTTTATTATGGACTACTTTAGGTGCATCCAGCCTTTTTAAACAAGGTCTGCAATTGATATGCTTTATCATCATAGCCAATGATACTTTATCCAGGCCAATGGAATATATCCAAACATTAAAAAAACCTCCAAGAACCTCACCAATTCCTGTTTATCATAAAAATATGTTTAGCTATAAAAAGGCAAATAAAAATCTGCGTAAACCGTCATTTACTCTGACTATAAAAGACAGTATTTCCTCCCACAAAATTGACATAATTTTTTCTTGAACAATGATGAAAGTAAGAAGAGAACCGAGGAGTAACACAACATTTTGTTTGCATCCTTTCTGGTTTTGATAATGAAGGCTGAATTGAAATTCTAGTTTAGAAGGTATAATTGTGTTCCCTACAGGACAAGTACAACAAGCCGCCTCTTCTTAGCAATTAATGGCATTATTCTTTTTACTTATTGAAAAAAGCTTGCAGTTTTCTGGTATGTAAGCCCCTATATTTAAACTTGACACTGTGGTCATGATTTATTGCCAAGTGTGCTTGTAGGCATTTTCTTTTTGTGAATTACCTTCTCTAAAAGTAAAAAACAAAATCATAATCCAGCAGATCTCAAACCCTATACTCTAAATCTACTGAGTGTTGCATATGTTGCTTTCTCATAAATTTTAAGTTACTTTTAAATGTTTGAGCCATATAAGCATTTGCTGTATTGCAGCATTTTATAGAAGTTACAGTAACTAGATTTATGTGCCAAGTCTTTGAATTGTTGAATACTTATTTATGCATTATATACACACAACATTTGCAGAGGTTTAATGCACAATGACTTTTCACTTCTCTTGCGCATAATCTAGTTTAGCTTTTCCAGAGATTTAGTTAGCAATTATGTTTAAAGGACTGATGTTAACATTTCTGAAACTTTATAATTTAATTAGTTGTCAGATTATCAAAAGACATTGAGTTTGTGATAGACGTTTAAATAAATGCAAAGTATATAGTCATGTTGATGGCTGTTACAACTATATTCTTTGCTTAAATTTGTACCTTCAGCTAGTCTCTTGCTAGATGACTTTTGTACATTCTAGTTTTCATCTTCCTTTTAAAAAGATGGGGGGGAAGCAAACTGCTACTCTAAAACTATTTCTTTTGATTGGTGTAACATGCCATAACAATCACATTAGATATCTAACAAAAAGATATAAGAAACCTTCTTTCCTTGTTTCTGCTCTTATTGAATTTTTATTAAATTGCTATAATTTTCCAGTGAACAGGTTCATCTACGTCAAATGGATTTTCAGTCATGCATAAAAATCTAAAAGAGTTGTTTATGATTTTCAAAAGCATTATCTTTAACTGTATAAAGGCCTGTGACATCTGGAGAAAATATTAGAAGTAACTTACTGGATGATCCCTCTGCAGATTGTTCCGCATCCTCTGTTTAATTTCAGTAGCTACTTCAGGATTTGTCTTTTCCAGTTTGGTTAAAATTTTGTTCACATGGTTCCTGGTGACCTGCAGAAGTTTCTCTATAGTAGTCCAGAGTTCGTTAGGTTTGGACAGATCCAATACAAGAACTACAGCAAATGACCTATTAAAAAGGCATTATTTGGTCAAATCTTTAGTGCATGAGACAATTAACATTTTCATATACAACCATACCTGTAGTACAAATGCTGAAAGCGACAAATGTGAAAATACAAATGCTAAGATAGAATTAAATGTGACAGCAAAGGAAGATGGCTTTTGAGGATACTCTCAGCTCTGAAGAAACCTTTCCCTTGTCTCTTGTTCAGAACTACTACTTTGGCAACTTTCCATCAGAGGTTTTGGGGGGATTGTATATATCAAACTTTGTTTCTGGAGACTTTGTTTCAAAGCAGTAAAATACGCAAATATCCTGAGCCCATTTAGCTCCTTCTTCCTGTATGACTGGGCACTTCTACTGTCATGTATCCCTGCCACCTCATAACTCTACCATCCCAGATGAAGCAGCGTTAGCAAATGGTTAGGATCTTTCCTAACCATTAATGTATTAGAAAGTTCTATACTTCCATTATTCTTTTGTAATATGAAATGGAAAAAACTGGTTAAGGGCAATATTCTGTGCCATGGACCGTGCCAGTTAGCTGGAACCTCAAATGTGTGTATCTTCCAGTCTTCTGAAAGATAAATGGAAGAAGTCAGAGTATTCAAGACATATTTAGCAATTACCAGGCTTTTAAAGGTGGATCATGATGAGAAATGTTTTACCCATAAACTCCTCTCCTTCCAAAACCCTGCCTCCCAAAACTCTAACTGCATTAAAGTGCAACTGTAAAGAAGAACATCGCAAATGCAGCCATTTGAATGGATGCAATCATTCTTTCACATTCCATCCTGACTTGAAAAAGGGGATTCCAGACCAGAGTGGTGTTAGAAAGACTACAAAGCAAAGTGAATGTCCAATTTCACGTTAAAATGCCATGGGGAAAAAAATCTGGTGAAAAGTCTCTCGGTGAAACTAGATATAGTTCATGGAACTTTAAAATAAGCAAATTGCTTGACTCCAGACAGATGAGAAAACCAGTGAAAAGCACCTATACTTAAGTTGAAATGGTAGAATTTTTGACGAGCACGTTAAAATATTGCCTTATGAACAGAAGTGGTCTTACAGAACAATGTTGCTACCCCATCAAAGAATCTTAAGATCATCCACATCAGAAGATCCCTTATCAGTAAAAAGGGAAGAAAAGACTGATGGAGATGGAGCTCAGTTAAGTTCATTTAGACAATAGCTGAAAAATGATAGCTGATTTTTCCCCCCAAGCTCTTCTAGAAACAAAAAGCTTCACATGCCAGAAGTATTTTTTTTATTCCTTCTGTCTTAGTCTCTCACTACATAATGGCATTATCTCAATAGCCAAAACAGTAGCAGATGTACATGATAAAAATTGTATGAGGCCTTTTTCATTTCCTTCCCCCCCCCGCCCCCAGACATTAAAGCTCACTACCAAAGGAATAAAGCAATGCATCATAATACAAAACGTATCTTTTGATCCTTTTCTCCCCTTCCACTTTCCACTCCGTCTTCCCTAACCAGAAAAAACATAAAATGCACCCACCGTCACCTTCTCATTTCTTCATGCAACTCTTCATGCATTTCTTCTTCCTATGCCATTCCATCACTTTTATGGATTTTTCTCACTACGTTCTCTTAATTCTCTCTAAATTCCTGTTTTCTTTTGTCTTCAAATAATTTCAATAGTTTTAGTCCCCCTCAGAAACATCATCTCTTTTGTATGATCTTCGTCTCATCAGATGGTCACTTCATTTCCCAAAAATCCAGATTTTTTTTTTTAGTCACAATTTTTGGCCTTATTTTTCACCCAAAAGTACGGCCCCTCACAGAGATAGCATTTATGTTTGCATACAGAAGTAGGAAGCAAGATTTTATTTTTTGAATGCCCCCATGTTGCTTTTTCTGCTCTTTCATTGAGCATGAAGATACTATGTCTTCTCTTTTTCTGTATTTCTTGTTCTATCTACTTAAGGCCAGCCTATTTCCTTCATGTTATCGCTTTCTGTTGTTGTTGGAGATTGCTAAGAACTTGGCTTATTAGGAGAGAACCGTGAAAAGGAAGGTCAAAGCAAAGTATCAGTGGTATTACAATGATTTTTAGAAAAAAATCATAAGTGTTCCATCTTACATTTTGAAAGAGTTTTCCACAATAAAAGGTCTAGAGGTTTACTTATGTTTGAAGGAAAGCTGAAATTAACTTTGGAATTCACTTACCTTACGTTGTTGCTAGTGATTGGTATTCGAATCAGTTCCAGTAATGAGGTTCCACCACCTAGTTCCCAAAAATGAGCTATGTCTTTAGGCTGTAAAAGAGTTTCTTTATGTTAGAAACGTGTGCTTCCATGCAACACCAAGAGAAGATCTCATCTGATAAACTGGCTTTTCATGCAAATAACTCAGAACAAGAACATATATTATTTCACTAGTATTTTCCGAAAAACAAAACCAAATAAAAAACTTCCCATGTTCAAGAAATCCCATACAACACTTACGAAAGACTCCTGGCATGCCTACAACTGTCTTGATAAATGACCACGGTAAAGTAAAAAAGTCAGGAAGAAGCATGATTAATGATAAACATTAAAAAAAAAATCAGGTTCTCTTCCCTTTCTTTCTGTTTATTGCAGCTCAGGACTAATGCTTTTTGAGAAGTTTGCAACTGGAAAAGTAATGAATCTCTACCTTCATGTTTAGTTTCTGGGAAAGGTTTTAAGTGATTTTTATCTTTCAGAATCAGATTTTCCACTCCCTGCTTCAGTAACAGAAAAAACAATTACCTGCAGCAGTAGTTATTGCTGCTGGGCAGTATTGTGCTGTGATGGGAATGGGTTCGGTATTTCTGTTAACAGAATTTGCAGTGCAAAATCTAGCAATATGGACATATAAATCATAATTAAATTTTTGGGTTAACATCCTCTAAGATGACTGCTTCTCTCATAGAACTGTTTGTAAAGTATCTTCATCGGTTTGTACTCATTTTTGCATTTTAAAGACAAAGTTAAAGGCATGCATACTATGTTACAATGGGAAAATAAAAGCACTCAAACACGACAGACAAGGTAGTTTTTATAGATGAATCTGATTGATTGCTTTGTGTTATACTTTGGTCTCTGATCTGCTGTGGTTTAGTGAGAGGGAAAAACATATTACAGATTAAAATACAAAATTAAGATAGCTAATTTAAATAAAATTATATTAAAAAAACCTTTTTGTTTCACAAACAATAAGCTAAACCCCCTAAGATTCTTATACATAAAAATAAAACATATTCTGTTTATATGTGTGTGTGTGTATATATATAAAAAGATACGGTAAACTATACTTTCTGGATACTCACTGTATTGTGTCTCCTTGCCCTTCTTCCAAAAGTATATTCCAAGGCTAATGTTGGCTTTGGAATCTCTTCCCTATGCAAGGAAAAATAACGTCATTTTGTCAAGATCCTCTAAGTAAGGAGAGTTAATTCTACAGTTACTAAATTATATTTATCAGTCAGTTCAGAATTTGGCTTAGAAACAGCAGTACAGAGAGGACACTTTAAGACAACAGGTCTCAGCTGCTGAAGACAGGAGAAGTAGCAGCACCAACCTCAATAGATGGCCATTTAAGCTCTCTAACACTGGAGAAGAAGGACTGAAGGGGTCAGATGACAGGTAGTAATGAAGGGAAATAAGTTTATCCATAAGTGATCAACTGGTCACAGAATACAACACCTGTATACATATATTATGAATTATCACACAATATAACTATTTATGTAAAATTCTAATCCACAGTTGAAAACTACTTTTAAAAATTTAACACATACCTCTCAAGACACCTCAGTATAATAGTGGTCTTTCCCTGGAAATTAAAAACAAAGAAGAACCCTACTGTACTGTCATTAAAGCATAAAAGTTGTATCGCTAAATGAAACTCACTCATTTAACGTTCCAATAATAAAGTACCGGAAAAGTGTAAACTCATGTAATTGTTTGTAGCCTTATAGTGGAAACGGAACTGCCAACTTTCTGTCAGAATCAAGTTACACTACCATTATTATAATTATAAACCGAGAGATGACAAATACAGTAATAGGAATAGTGTGCTTAAAATTAGACATTAGTGATCAACCTGGCCAACTCTGTTAACTGTTCAACAGTTTTTAATTATTAATAATACATTTATGTAATGTTTGGTTTCCACTGGAATTAAATTATTACTGATGAGATGGAAATAGAAAGAATGCTTAAAATACAAATAAACATACAGAAAAATATGTCTTTACACTGCTGAAATTCAGACACTGAGTACCATGCCACACTGAAGGGGCTAGCACTTCTACAGTTTGCTCCTGTGTCCTTTCCTATCTCAAAAATCAGTGAATTTCAGGTAAATCTGAAAAGTCATTGTATTTTCTCTGGAAAAGGTGTTTTAAAAATTGCTGATTAAAAGCTTGCACATGTACCAATCCTTCTAAAATAAAAACTGTATTCTTAAAAACATGACTCACTTGGTCAAAAAGGCGAGTATTTCCTTATTTACTTTACAAATAAATGCTAACAAATGAAAAATATGAAATTACTAATAGTCAAACTTATGGGACAATGAGTTAAAACAATCTTAGGCATGTGGAATCACGAGTTTGCAATCACTGATGAGGCATATTCAAATAGGTCTGACAATACAGACACAATTCATAGCAGGATGTCAAGGCCTCTACCTACAACAAAACTGGTATCAATGCACATAAATTGCATTGTTACCAGTTAAACCTTTACAAGGGGAAATTTGACATGTCAGACAATTAAAGAGTAGCATTATTTCCGGCAGTCACTTTTACAGAAATTAATGAAGCCAAACCTGAAAGAAGTAGCACATCATCGATAACACTGGTTGAAGTTTTGACTCTCCAAACCATAAACTTGAAATTCTGAATTGTAATAATGTCTAATTGGTCCACCCTCTGTGGAATGCCCACTCTCTGCAGAATCAGAACACGACATATTTTGTCTTTAGAAGAATTAAGTGGACCTTAATGTCTGAAAACATCAGATATTTTCCCTGACAAAAACTATGTTCGAAAAGCACAGAATTGTACAGTATTTAGCGTTACCCCATTTTTGTTTCCCATAAATAATAGTGATTTTTCCCAAACTTCCACACGCTTGCCATCATCGTCAGCGTTTTCTCTCTTCTCTACTTCAGCTATAGCAAGATCCCATAAAGTATCACTAGTTGGAAAAACAAAATAAGAGTGTCATTAGAGAAAAACAATGGACACTCGACCGTAATTCCTGGAAAAATCTAATGGATAAATGAAGGGTATTACAGTTTGTTATTATTATTTATTATTATTATTATTTCACATCACATGCCCTCTGCTTGTCGAAGTACTTCTCCTAACAAAGCCAGGTAAAGTGAAATTCCTCAGGTAACCCCAACAGCCATTTGCTGCACACGCTGCGTAAATACCAGCTGCGTGGCAGGAAGCTTTGAGTACGTCTAAGACACCTTTAAAAGGTTTTCTAACGATTAAGGCTTTTCACAGCACCCTGCAGGTCAGGCTGGCAGCCTCTGGACCGTTCGCTGGCCACGGGGG